ATGTGGCCCTGATTCTTAGCAACCCAACACAGAATTGTTCAAGGGAATCTTGTTCTTTGGGCTGGGAAGAGGTTGGGCTCTGGAGGTTGACCTGGTGTCTTTCCTGGGGTGACCCACCCCTAATCACAACCTCCAGTACTCTTGAGGCACCAACTCCTCTGCTTCCATTGAGAGGACTCCTAAGGAAGCACACGGAGATCGTGGCCTAGAAAGCAGCATCCTTACCTCTGCTTGGGGAAGGCGTCACCTGCCATGGTACTGAGATGCTGAGGCCCCCGTGAGGGTGTGCATTCAGGATGTGAGCCAGAAGAGCCAAGGAATGATAGCCTCATGCCCAGGCTTCTGATGGAGAGGGGGTTAACGCAACTCAGCAGCCCAAAGGAGAAAGAACCTTGTTATGGTTGCTGGGACTTGGGTCATCCTCGGCCTTTGTCCCACGGGCACTTGTCAGCATCCATCAGGACACCTGAGATGTTTAGGAGTTCTCTCATGATGACAAGCCTCTGGCGAGAGGAAGAGAGGAGGTGTGTACAGACAAGAGCACAGAAGCAGCCCCCCTCTCCACGGTTGGTACCTGATGGAACTCACTGGCTGTGTGGTGGGACTCACACAGCATTAACCCGCCCTTGTCAGCCCACGGGTGACATCATTCACTCAGGGAATCTAAAGAAAGGAGAAGTGCCACTTGAGCAACCCTGGCAACCCATAAGCACTTTGGGTGGTTCTCTTCTGTTTTTGTTTTTGTAAGAAGATGAAGTTTGGTCACATGACTTGAGTCTTTACATCATATCCTGATCCTCATTCCCTCTGCAACGCACTGAGGTCTGTCTTCTGTCCCTGAATCCTGATGAATTCCTTACTACTGTGATGTTGGGGGAGCCTGTGATAGGGGAGCCTGTGATGTTGCATTTGTTTAACTCTGTGTTACTTTGCTTGTCTAAAACACCCGATTGATCTAATGAAGAGCTGAATGGTCAATAGGTAGGCAGGAGAAAGGATGGGTGGGGCTGGCAGGCAGAGAGTAAACAGGAGAAATTGTGGAAGAGAAGGTCGAGGGGCAAGAGAAGGAGGAGAGGAGGACATCACGGCCAGCCACCCAGCTACACAGCCAGACACGGAGTAAGAAGGAAAGAAAGGTATATAGAATAGGGAAAGGTAAAAATCCAGAAGCAAAAGGTTGCTGGATAATTTAAGAAAAACTGGCTAGAAACAAGCCAAGTCAAGGCTGGGCATTCCTAAGAAAGAATAAGCCTCTGTGTGATTTATTTGGGTGGTGGGCCCCACAATGTGTGAAGAGTAAAAAAACCAGCTGCACTCCTGTGTGTGTGTGTGTGTGTGTACACTCTTTGGGATAAAATACCCCCATTGCTACCTTCATCTTGTCCTTGGATAATCCCTGTTTCATCATGCTCCCTCTGTGAGGCCCTTCCTCAATGCCCAAGCTTGTTTCCGGGTCTATTTCTCCTATGACATATCTCTCTCTTTCTGAAGGTGTCTTAAGTAGCCCAAGCTGGCTTTGAACTTGGTACATAGCTAAGGATAGATAACCTTGAACTTCTGATCTTCCTGTCTCCACCTCCTGCATGGACACATCTGGGCCACCACATACAGGGTTTCTCTGTGTAACAGCATTAGCAGTCCAGGAACTAGCTCTGTAGACCAGGCTGGCCTCAAATTTAGAGAGATTCACCTGCCTCTGCCTCCTGAGTGCTGGGATTAAAGGCATGTGCCACCACCGCCCAGTCCTCCTTTCCTTTTATCTCAAACATTTTCAGGCTCACATTCAAACTCAACCAGACTAGCTAGTTAACTTTTGTAGTTAACGAGAGACTGCCGGCTGCCCTCAGCACTCATTCTCACCTCTTTTTAGAGAACAGAACTATTCATTTTTACCCTGATATGGAGTAACTTGGAGTTACACTGCATGTCCAGCCTTCCTGCCTGTTAAGTGTGCTCACCGAATAAATTCTGGCCAATGGAAAGTGTTATTTCAAGACAGGACATTTGCTCTTTACTCCATCCTGCTGGTACTTGGAGGTGGCAGATTCCTTGTAGTGATGCCAAGCCACAAGACAGTGGGGACAGATGTCCCTATGCCATTCCAACGAGACCCTTGCATCCACATGGCTTAGTCCTCAGGAATGAGACCTTAGACTTCCTGTGCCAACGTGACTTACCATTTTTATATCATGGAAATTCTTGTTACTTAATATGATGAGCATCAGCGTTGGCTTCACAAGATTTATATAGAATTTACTCTAGCACAAGAGTCTCATTTTGGCAAATAATGGTGGACCCCTCCCCCCATCCCCAGGACATCAGACTGCTCTCCTGAGCTAATAGTTCCCTCGCTGTTTGCTTTCACTTTCACTCAGCAAGACTGGGGACCACTGCCTTAAACATTAAGTCACAAGCACAACCCAGTCCTATTAGATCTGTTAGACCTTAGTCACGAGTTATGCCTTGAGTGAGCGGAGAAAGCCTTGAACCTGGAACCTTCCCTCCCACCCAGACACCTGTACGGTGTGACTGGTCCACCTGCAGGTTACCTGGCCTTTGTCTGAGGTGCTGACGGCTGGCTGGGCCTCATTCACACAAGCTGAGATACCAGTGTCTCTGACTGCAGCACTTTCCCTATTGGCTTTCGGTCATGGGCAGCCAAACGGGGTCACAGCACGCTTCCCTCCCGTGAGAGTCGTCACCAGTGGACAGGGGGTGAGAACGCGGGGCTCGTGTGCAGAAGATCACAAGCCCCAGAGCCATTCATCAGGTCCCTGTGGATGTTTGGCACCTGAGCAGTCACGTGGATTTCCGAATAACCAAATGGGCTGGGTTTGTAAGCTGAGTGGCAAGCTAATGCTTGGCCTATGTAAAACTTGGGTTGAACATTAGTGCCACAAAACAAACAGACAAAAGCAGACCACACCCTCTCTCAAATATAGCATGTTCTACATCTAAACAAATGTTTTTATTTGGAATTGTTACTTTAGTGTAGCCTGGTGAGATGGCTCAGCTGGTTTTGTTTTATTTTGTTGGGTTTTGTTTGTTTTGGAGACAGGATCTCACTATGCAGCCTTGGCTGGCCTGGAACTTGCCACACAGCCCAGACTAGCCTCTAATTCACAGAAATCCACCTGCTTCTGCCTGAAGGTGAGATTAAAAACATGTACCACCACGCCCACTGAGGATCAATCTCATTTCACGTAAAAATATTTCAGCATGTACCCCTGAAGGCACATTTCTCTCTTAATTTTTAAAAATTATTTTAATTTCTTTTTAGGTACACGGATGTTTTCGCCTGCAGGTTTGCTTGTGCACCACAGGCTTGCAGAGCCAGAGGAGGGCAGAAGAGGCTTCAGGACCCTGGAAACTGGAGCTATAGATGGTTATGAGCAGCCATGTAGGTACTGAGAATCAAATCCATGTCCTCTGGAATAGCAGTCAGTGCAGTTAAGAGCATAGTCTGGATAAGTGAATTTCCCAATTCCTCTTAATCTGTCAATTCGACTTGCCCTCATCTTTCTTTAGAGATTATTTGATAAAGAACGTTTGTTTGTATCCCTAAAATCTGTGCTTTTCAGATTGTTCCCCACGGTGTCATTTAGCCCCACCCTCTATCCTCCATTTCCTGTAAATTTGTGGGTGTATCTGTAGACTAACTAGTCAGAATGATGGGCTCTGGACAAAGCCATCTCAATAGGTGCTGGTCATTCGCTCCTCCCAAGGGGCTCATCTTACCAACCTGTCTCTTCCAAAGGAAGGGGAATCGATCCCTACACAAGGGACACGTCACCATCCGGTCTGAGTAACGTGGGTAGCAAAACTGGAAAATGATGGTTTGAGTTGGAAAACAGTGTGAGCCAGCAATGACAGGCCAGTGTGGTGGGTAAACAGGCCCTGAAGGAAATTCCCAAACTCCTCTATGCAAAGACAACCGCCCGGGGTGACGAATGTGAACGGAACAACACAGACATTGACGGAGAAGTTGTGTGTTGCTTCTAAAACCAGCTTCGTAGTGTGGGTGGACGTGCCAGGAGTCCGCTTGTAGTCACGTGTCCCTCCCCAGGGCCCCTAAACTTTCCTGTGTGTTGTTCTCAAGTTTTAAAGTTGGCGATGCTGGAAAGTATGACATACCGAGCACCCCACCGAGGGCCCTCACCTTAGCTCCATCCATCCCACAGCCCGACACTTCCCAGCCATCTGGATGGGTTGACAAGGGTGCCTGGGTTCCACCCAGCTCCTTTCCGCCCGGTTTTGCTCCCATCTCCATTACTAGGCCAGAATGCGGTCAGGGTACCATAGGGGTGCAGGAGGCTTCTGAAAAAAGGAAGCAACATGGGGGAAGCTCCAGACGGAGCAGGAGCACAGCAGCCAAGATGGAGAACCGGCTGAGCTGAAGACCCTCAGAGGTCCAAGTTCCAGCACCGCGGAAGCACCCCAGTCTGGGTTCGCATTCGAATTTTCCACGCGGTTCGCGGCTGACAATTGCGAAGCCCCGCCCATCGCGATCGCCCCTCCCCTCCCCGTGACGCAAGGAGGAGGAGCCTCTGGGGCTCGCTTCGCCTCTGGGCAGATGACTTCCTGAGCTCCTCCTACGCACGCGCTGCTCGGGCGCTCGCGCTGGCGCAGTTCGGCACCAGCCGGGCGGTCCCCTACCCCCGCCCCCTCCCTAGCAACCGCCTCCCGCTCCCTCCTCCGCCCCGCGGCCTGGTGTGCGCACGCGCATTCCTTCCGGGGTTCGCCCCTCCCCGTCACCCGTAACAACCACTCGAGCCCTCGCCGCGCCCCTCGGCGCTCCCGCCCCGGCCCCCGTCCCCGGAACCGGCGGTCTAGCGGCGGCAGCCGAGCCTGTGGCACGGCTCTCTCTCCGCGGAGCCGCCGGCATGAACGCATCCCGCCGCCCCGCGTCCCCGACCCGGTCCTTTTGACAAGAGGTAAGCGCGCGTCGTCGTGGAGAGCTAGGAGCGCGCCCGGGTTCCCGCCCCCGGCCGGGTCCCTCTGCCGAGGTGGCCGCGGGCGTTCGCCCTCTCCGGGGCGGCAGATCCGGCCGGGTCTTCAGCCGCCGCCGCCCCGATCTGGCCCGCCCCCTCCTCCGTCCAGCCCCGGCCTGCTGGGAGGCGCTCCCCCGGGGCCGACCCTGGGCTGATTTTCAAACACCAATCATCATGCAATAGAGGCAGCCCGGGCCTCCCGTGCCATTTGGCGGTGGTCAACTCCGGATGCCCGCGTGGGGAGCGGATCTGGACCAGGCTCCCCAAACCGAGAACCTGCCCGAATTCAGGGAGCTGGCGAGCAAGCTGGTCCTTCAGGGTAGTCACTTTGGGTAAGAGTTTCTTAATACAGGCATCACGCAGTGCTTGCATCCTCTCCCCTAACCGTCAGCACCTGGTAATCATCCTCCTTTTATTTGGGAGATAACCCGAAAACTAATTTTCTCAATTAAAAAATGTAAACGATGATTAGATTCCCCAGCGAGCAACAGTATCGTAAGGTTTACGAGAGTGAGTGGAACGCGATCTCCGCGCTCCAGGACGCGTCAGCGCCTGAATCAAGATTAATGAAGGCTTGAGTTTGGAGGAGAACCGAGGAGTTTGGCTGACGGCCTTATGGTTTGAAAGCTGGGAGTGTAAGATCATCTCACAGAGATGGAATCAGGAAAGGCGAATCGGGCATGCTTGAGGTCACCCAGAGTTACTAGCCTTTGTAGTTTTCCAACTGTTGGAAGGGTGGTTTTCCAGCTTAACCTGCTTGCTTCTTCCTAGTGCTGTGCCAAGCAAACACGGAGCAGAGAAAGTTCCAGACCTGTTTAAAGCGTGTAAACATTGTAGAAGTGCAGCTATATAGATTGCAATTCTCTGAAATATATCAGCGTAGGCTTGTTGTTCTTTTTTTTTTTTTTAACAGCTGGAAGTTGGGATAGTTAGATGCTCGGTTTTGAACTTTTGAAGGCCTTTACATCGTGTTTAGATAAAATAACATCTTTGCTGATTGAACCTTAGCAGGACTGGCGGTCTCTCTGGGTTTTTCTTTCTTTTTCTATTGTTTTTCTCCCTCTCTTTTAAGTAGGTGAGCAAAAACGCTCCAGCTGACTCTGAACACAAGGGTGTTTACTGAGAAAGCCACCCTTGCCAAGCCCTGGAGTGATTTTGTATGCAAAGGAGGGTTCCTTGACCTCAGGCTGGAGCCTGTAATTGATTACCTTTGCAGGGCCAGGGCTTCAGGGGGACTGAGGTTTTTGGAGCCCCTTCAGCTGAAGCTGGGCAGCTTCCCTGCTGTTTGAAGAGAGACTCTAAAATTGGATCATAGAGTTAGGAAACAGGAAGCAACGGAAGTTCCCTTTAAAACCAGTTCTTAAGTATTCCAAAATTTGAGAAACAGTGGTCCTGCCCAGTGTCTGGTGTCACCCCCCCCCCCCCCCCCCGCCCATGTCAGCTGCTTCCCCCACTCCCCACTTTTTGTGTCATCCCCAAAGCTTATGTCTTAATGTGTTACTATTTTTGTTTGGGTCCTTGTAGAAGTTGTTCAAGAGACCATAGTTAAATAATCGAATCCTTGAATCCTAAGATTTCATTGGTGTGGAGGACTAGATGCGGGGGTGGGGGGGACAGAGGGCCCCCCCTCAGACCAGGGTGGCTCCATCCTTCCATGTGGGCTTCCTCTGCATTTTCTTAATGCCTTGTTACTCCCCTCCCCCCCCCCCCCCCCCCCCCCCCGCCCCCCCCCCCC